TCGTATGCAATTCATATAAATTCGTACGCGGTGAAGACCGACAAGTAACCGACAAGTCTGACGAATTAGTTGCACCGGTAATATAACGACAGGCAAATTGGATCACGGTCGTTTGCGCCTGAAATGCGATTGGAAATTAATTCCCGTTCTGGTAAGCCGACCCGTCTGTGACTTCACAAAGTTGCTAGAGTTAACTGCGCAGAGAAACAGTTTCAATCAGCTTACTCCGATAATGTGTACAAGGATAACATTTAAATTCATAATAATATTGAATATTTAATTTTTTAAATTGTTTAGAAGAAATCGTTTAAATCCATTTTATTTCGTTCGATCCTTTTTATTGCAAATTATATTTAATCCATCTTATACTTAATTTTCTTACTTATTAGATAACTTATAATATTTTTAAGATTGATTTTAATTAAAACAAGAGAAGATTCTGAATTTTCTTCATCTACGATTCTACGTTTCTATGAAAATTATTTTTTTCATTTAACAGCTTTTGATCTCTAAATTCTTTATTGCTCATTTTGTCATGAAATTCATCATATCGTATCATATATGAACAGTAATAAAAAATGTTCGATCACGTAAATCCGACTTCCATAGCGCACATCATTAACTCCCCCCCCCTCCCCACTATTGATTAAATATAAGTTCACATCCATTCTCGCTTTTAATTGCGAAAATTTCAGCACGTTCGGCCCTACTTTCAACGGATCGATACTCAAACATCCTTATTTTCATGAAGGATTTCTATCATATCCGTTTCTACTTCTATGGAAGATCTCTCGCGTATCCGGAAATACTTCTGAAACTCTCACTTCTTCCTTCACGCTTCTCATTCTATTCCGGTCCCAAATCCAACCAAACGCTCGCCCTCGAGAATGGCTCGTTTTACAGGATGTGGGATGTTTTTCTGCCATAGATGCCGGATCTGACGGTGACGGAAGAGGCGACGAGCCTAAGCATGTCACACCTCGAAGACCTCATGGAGGACGACACCAGCGGTCCCGTACACGGCGGCGACCCGATGCTGTCGTCGCCGCACCTGCCACCATTGAGCCCACCTGCGACCGGCTGTCACCATGGTTTAACTGACGAGGACACCCTCGGCAGCCTGGCGGTGACCACATCGAACTCCTCGTCCGACATGGACATCGTCGCGTAGTCGAAAACCACCGTCGTCCATCAGCTTCGCGCGTGATCGTAGTCGACTTTTGAAACTTGGTCGCGTTAGATATTTTCCGGTAGTCGCAGAGGTGATCGATTTAGGTTCGTGTGAAGTGGGAAGAGGAGAAAAGAAATAGAGCAGGACACTTCCGTGATGTGCGAAATACGACTTAGAGGCAGCGAACTGTTGCGACGTCGTAGATTCTCATCGTGGAAGAGCGGAAAGAAAATTTGCGCGGCACCAATTGAATTTTATTGGAGTCACTGCATTCTGATGTGGATTTATCTAAAACTAGTCATCGACTTGTGGTCGGGAAAGGAGGTCGGCAAAAGAAATGAAGAAAAATACATATGGGCCTGACGTTGCTTGCCGTGGAGAGGATTAAAGGAGATCGTTCTGAATATTGCGATCGATCCATTAAACAAACGATAACGCTTGAGGAGCAGTCATTATGTTAATATAATGAAGTTTAGAGAAAGAAATATCGATAATCTTTTTGAATTTCGACGACTTGGTCCAATATAAATAATTATTATAGACAAACTAGAAGACTGGAAACCACGGTTAAAATGTTCCCATGGGGATATCACAATGGGGCGGCGCACTTTGAATCACGAATATAATCGTAGAATTTTGCAGACCTGCCATTATCACATCAGTGGTCCCCATAATTCAAGAATATATCTAGCGATTATTGTTGCAATATTATTCCTCTTGGTCATCTAACATATTGTTAATTGTTGGCCGGTTTGAACCATGGGCAACGAGAGCGCTTTCGAAGACCATTTCAAGCTAGAAAATCATCGAGAAGACCGTAAAGAAAATTGCTGTGACAAAAATGTGTCAAGTTCACGTTTCACGCTCTTGAAGATCCATAGTATGAGAAGCTGATGAATGTTTCTCGGGTCGACAACATGAGAACTAAAGAAGCGATCGGACGTTTTCGGTCGGTCAGTCGAGCTGGCCGGCTTCGGGGTCTCTCTCGAAGTGGCGGTGAAAGTCGTCATTGCCTGGCGACGGAGGAGTTCAGGGTCGTTCCAATTGCGAAGAACGGAGGGCTCACTGTCACGATTCTACAAACGGCTGGCCGTTACATGGATGGAATGCGTGACATCTTGCGTGCGTTGTATGCTATGTCAGTGCCACGAAGGACGCGCTCCTGTCGCGCTTGAGACAGGCCTAAATGTTCGCGCGAGACGCTGTTCATCAGCGATGCACCTTGCGTCGTATGACAATTTCGAGATAATTGACGAAGAACGAGAGATTGTCTTCTCGTAAAAAAAGTGCTAGCTATATAATTCACTATGATATTACTTAATCGCCGAGAAATCATTTTCATAGATTGCGAGCGTGTTCGCGAGGTGTGTTCGAGAAGATGATCCGATATGAAATATTTTTAATAAAAGATTTCTCGTGATTTTGTCCTGAAATATCTCCGATAGAATCGGTGAAGTATGCAATTGCACGTGATAATGTTACTTCGATTCATGAAATGATGAAATATCAAATAAGGAAACAGCTTGAGAATAAATTTCGGAAGTAAGCTCCGTTATATGCAAAAAATTCGCTTCGCAGATGGAATATTGAACATTGCAATGTTTTAAGGTTCGATTTAATTTCTGATTTATTAAACGTAATAATAACATTCGAGTGCCTTCGTGAAAAAAGTCGAAAAAAATATTTTCAAAAATATATCCTTCGATTTCAGTATTAAAATATATATGCACATATCTAAGCAATCAAGATTTTCTATTTTACATAACAAAATGTAACATAAAATTTATATTAATGGCTCCTAGAATCATTTATGTAGCAAATTCAAAAATTTCATGGAAATTCGTGACCATCATTTAAATTCATCTCAAGAATTATAAAATTCCTACATATAAAATCACATTGTCTCTTGCCATTATTATCTTGTAGACATTTTCCAATAGTCAAAGATAGATACAAATAGACGATTAAAAATATAAATAGCATCGAAATTATGTTAGAATGATGAAATATCGGATTCGATAAAGTCTCTTCGCATCATTTTCAAAATGTACGGTAATTTCGTTCGCGTCATGAAAACCGCGTATCGAGCCGATCGCACAATCTGAGCGTTCGCGAGAAAGAGATGAAAGGCTCCCGCGATCTGTCATTAATCGTCCGTGGTTTGCGACAAAGGAGTATATCGACGTCGATATCGGGATGACGTCGATTCCGGCAAAGACTCGCAACGGATGAGCGAGTATTATGTCCAAGTTCGTTATAGCAAGTTTGCTGATAATTATTATCCCTGATAGTATGCACGTCGAGCTGTACGTCTCGTATGTTGCTTGTAGCGGGTTGCGGCTTGAGTACACGATGGCTTTTGTGCGATGGGCCTTGATTTCACCACTTGCCTCGTCTCGGTTTGCGTCGGCTGTAACCCACATCGCTTGATCCACGTCGCCCCGAGCCAAGATCGATAATTACTCGATCGTGGACTACCGTCGATAAATCGTCGGCGGTCGTTACGAAAGAATAGGTAGGTAATTAAGGTATCACCTATTTTCCAAGGAAGCGAGAGAAAATTTGAATAAGTTGTAAAGCAAAAAAAAAAAAAGACAAGAGACATTATTTTGCATACTTAAAATCGAGTTGCTAAATATTAGACGATCTTAGCGGGCGCAAGTTAATTTTCATGATAAATTAGGAAACAGGAATTTTTTTATCAACCACGTGATGCATTTTTCTTGTGTGTTTGAATCTGAAATTAAATGAAATATTATTTTAACGAAAGCACACCAAAGAAAGGAAGGCTATAAAAATGTTTTCGTCTAATTACGAGATAGGATTCTTTCTTCATTCTTTGCGAATGACTGTATATCGTAGATAATTTTCCGATTGATAAATATTTTATATTCTCATGCAGTGAGAGAAAACTATAATAGTTTAGAATATCTGTAGAATATCTAAGCTATCACTATATTCAATACACGTGTTTAAATTGGAAGCGATAAACAGATAAGCTACTTGTTGATAAGAGAGTCTATTGAGAAAAAAGAATATTTTTTGAAAAGTTATCTTTCAGTATTTTGATTTTTTCCATTTGATTTATAAATTATATATATAAAAAATATTAAATAATAAATCATTTACAGAATCATATAAAATAGATTTAATAAACATTAATTATGACATATTAATAAATTTCGCTATATAAATATCAATTACATTCGATACCAGTTTACGTACGTAGTTTTGAAGAATTTTTTTCTTATGTGCGCATTTTTCCGCCAATTGTCTCATTATCTACTTCATTTATGTTGTCGAAAGTGATAGTTTAGACATTCCAGATATGCACTACGCGCAACAGCCAACACGCTGCCTTCAAATGGGTTCTTATCGTGTCATTAATTTTTATTCAGACAAAGAACTCTCTTTTATATATATGAAAAAAATAAATTCTCGGTATAAAAGCTCGTAAATTATAAGAAATATTCGTAAAAATAATTACGTTTGAAAGTTCTTGATGAGGAAAACGATGTCTTTAAGTAAAATGGTGCCAGTCCAATCAAGACCTCGCTTGATAAAAGATATTTTACTATAATAATCGAAAGTACACATCGCAACTATACGATCGTAATCCCCCTGCGATTTTCTCCAGATTAAGTTTAGATCGATTCCTCGATATAAATGACATTTAGCATATAATATATATATATATATTGACATGTCTCAAAGTCAGAACAATCAATATCGACTTTCAAATAAAAGAGAGAACAAAGTCCTCATGTCTGTATATAGACCTTCCCATCGAACTTTCGAGTCGCAGAGAGTTAAATAAACGCGACTTTGGTCGTTCTGGCTTCGAGACCCTCGTTGTGTAAGATACCTATAGAAACGTATTTTTGTACCCAATATGATATCCACTCGCGCAGGTCGCAAGTTTTTGGTGTACGAAAATCTGTAAGTCTCGAGGATATTTCCTCGTCGTGATCGCGTCAGCGTACTCTCTGCTACTCTCCTACAAGATCTACACAAACAATATTATATACAGCACGCCAGAGAGGTGCTATATCGTATATGCGGTGTCCGTTTCTCGCGGTGCCTGCAAGCGTGACGGAACGAACGAGCAAAACGTTGCGACTGTTGCGGCAACTGCAGTTGCTCGCGGAGACTGCAATGCCCCGAGGCTGATACGTCCATTAACAAATCATCCCGTTCGCAGCGTATGAATTTATCACACACCCTTCTCGCGCACGTACGACCGAGGTGGCAAATAATTTTATATTAACGTTGTCAACGTGAGCTCTTGTTGATTAATTGATGGTTAATTCCAGTTGCGAGAAGGCTCGACAAACATCAAAAGTGTAACGTATGAAGGAGAGTGAAGGTTCAAAATAGAGAGTAAGGAATAAATTAGTAGACTTTTTCAAGTTCCCGAGCTCTGTAAAGGTTAATTAAAAATTTACATGGAGCACCTTAGACGTTTTTAATTTTTTACGTCATTTAGGTATAAATTTTCCCGATAATTTGAGGCCAATTTTTCTTTAGGAGAAAATTTGATTAAACGTTATGTTTATGCAATTTTTCAATATCCTGTGTTTGAAAATTAAGTAAATAGATTTCTTTGTTTATCGAAACTTTAAAAAAAAATCTCTTGATCTATTTATTACTTATGGATTGGAAATACTATCGCTGACCAGATTTTCATTTGGATAGAATAAATTGATCAAAGAATTCATACAAGTATTGGAGAACGTCTGATCCGTCTTCCGTGATGTCTTTATACTCGATTCTTAAAATTGAACGTGAAGTCGAGAAATTTCGAATGATTATCAAGGTTCGCCGAATGTTCTTTCGCGAAATCGGGTCAACTCGCAATTCCGTGCACGAGACGCGCGACGCAGAATACGTAACGATTCAACGGTGCATTCGCCGTCGGTCGGCGAAATAGCGGAGGCGTCAACCCTCCGCTGCTGGTGCTGTGTAACCACCGGGGAAAAATAAATAATCCGGGTACACGGTGCGCGCCGAAAGTAAATACAGATTCGGCGGCTCGCGAAAAACTTTCTTATCGGGGACGTGTCCTCGTAAAGGGAGTCTGTCAGGACTTTTGGCGGGGACGTGATTGCTCGGATTCGTTCCCGAGATTTGTACGAAATATCACGCGTATGAAATATTCATCGTTTCGTGTAAACGTTGAAACTTTCGACGACATTAGATTTGTTTCTCTCGGCTCTTAATATCGATTAATTAGAAATTAGAAAGATAAAAGCGTGACGTTTGTTAGGCGTTTTTTGACGTTTGAGTTTGGTAAATGATCTCGCTAAAGCGTAAAACAGAGTTAATTAACGTTGAGATTATTTTTTTATTAACGTCGACATGGCATGACGCCATCGAAAGTCGCGAATTTTTTCTTAAAAGTGCCAAGGGCTACTGCCGTCACGAGTGCACAACGAAAGTTAAGTATGCAATAATGATTAGCAGGCGTAACTGGTTTGCCAACGAGCCTCGAAATAGGTCATGCCCCGGAGGTACGCCATTTAGAGAGTGCCGCCTACCTTTAAACCCAGAACGAAACTAATTTCTGCCGGAACGAAATTTCACAGCAATGTGCAGTAGCGCGTTGCGGAAGACGTATTGGAAATTTACTCGAATGTAGCTATTCATGTGTTTTCGGTTATAATATTTCCTAGGTGCATATTGATTGCTAGGGAAATTTCTAAAATTTAAGAAGAAGATATAAATATATTGCATAAATTAAATATTTTATCTTACTTTGATGAGACATTACCTTTTCTTACAATTCTTTTTATATCGATAAAGATTAAATTCTCTATTGGCACATTTTCACAGAGTTCATTTTTTTCGTTCTTTAAAACTTTTTATGAAATTTCCACTCCCGATTTTTTATTTTGACATTTCTTTTTAAAACGTTCCTTGTTTGAAATTTCAAAATATTTGTCATTACCAATTTAAAAGGTGTTGAAATTGATCTTTCACGTGTATTAATTCGGCCTAAACGTATATATGAGATTGTACGTTACACACACATTTACACTTTTTTTTTGCTTATTCGAAAATTCAATCTCTTGATTCGTCATGTCCCAAGTATCTTTTGACACGCAATCTTCGCAACTTCACCGATGCTGATATCACAAGCTCACGAGTTGTGCGTCGGTATCGGTGTGCATGCGTGACGATGAGAGTAAAAGCAAAAAGAAAAAGGAAAAAAATACAAGCAGGTGCGTCAGCTATAAATAAAAGACAGTGATGTGTATGTATTTGAGCGTGTGTGTGTGTGTGTGTGTGTGTGTGTGTGTGTGTGTGTGTCGTAG